TTGCAAAACCAGATCAATATGGAGAGTTTTAAGCTATACCTGCTACACTTAACATCCCCTAGTCTTGGCTTCCTCATATGCAAAACCAGATCAATAAGGAAAGTTTCAAGTAGTAACATGTATTTCTCACAGGGTTCAATACTCTGAGGTTGTCACTTTGGTTTGAATATGTTCAAATATTCCAGAGCTACTGGAGACATTTAGCTGTCTCTGGGTATCTGTGTTTCTGAACATCTTGCTATTCACGTGGCTTTAAATTTTCTGAATGTCTTCTTTTTCGTTAATACTTTAAATAATCTTGTTGAAGCACCTTTAATCTCTGCATACTAACAGTGACTCTGGTCTTTTTTTTTTTTCCATTTCTCCCATCTTCGGCATCTATGACCCATTTGACCTCATTTCAAAATCTTAGCTCCTCAAACGTGAAATCTGTTCTCTCTCTCTTCACATATACATATACACACTCTTCAGGTCTCCTAGAATTGTTGAGACTTAACTACAATTTTTTCCTTAAATAATTTGTTTATCAAAGACATATCTTGTATAATAAGTTACATTAATTTGCTATGTAATATAAAAATGTAAATGTTGATTTAATTGAAATAAAATAATTATTCAATACAATAAAATTGATAATTTCATTATCATTTAGATAATAACACATATGGTCTATAAATTACTAAATTATTGCCAATAATAAACGTAAGATATAGATATATAGTCGATATTCATTACACGCAGATTCTCATTATTTGTGAATTTCCCTAATTGTTAAAATTTGTAACCCTAACACTTTCATAGTTGGTTGTGAACACATAGAAGGTCACAAAAATGTGGGCTGCCTGACATTCACATATCCTGTTACAGGTGAACATGGAAACACTGTTTTGTTTTGTTTTCTTCTTTTCTTTCTTTGAGACAGAGTTTCACTCTTGTTACCCAGGCTGGAGTGCAACGGCACAATCTCGGCTCACCGCAACCTCCACCTCCTGAGTTCAAGCAACTCTCCCGCCTCAGCCTCCCAAGTAGTTGGGACTACAGGCGCGCACCTCCATGCCCAGCTAATTTTTGTATTTTTAGTAGAGATGGGGTTTCACCATGTTGACCAGGATGGTCTCGATCTCTTGACCTCGTGATCCACCTGCCTCGGCCTCCCAAGGTGTGTTTTCTTGTTTCAGCTCTCATACTATAGACAAATGTCTCATTTGTGGTCTATTACATGCCAGATTTTTTGCATTTTTGTGCTATTGCTTGGTCCTTTTGCTGTTTAAAATGCCCCCCACTCCCAGAAATGTTGTTGAGTGTTCCTAAACACAGAAGGCTGTGTGCACTGAGGCTTATAAAGAAAATGTGTGTGTTAGATAAGCTTTGTTCAGGCATGAGTTATAGGGCTCTTGGCCATGAGCTCAATGTTAACGAATAATCTTAATGAATCAATGATATGTATTAAATAAGGTGTCTTTAACCTGAAACACACATAAAACAAGATTATGTATTAATTGTTGGATGAGACTGTTGTGACCAGAGACTTGCAGGAAACTCATCTTACTGTGTTTCCCCGGAGGAGTAATATGTTCAGTGTTTTCAAGTCCAGTGACCCTGGTTACTTTATAGAACATAACTATTGCAAATAATGAGAATGGACGAGGGGTGTGCGTACACGCACACACACACACACACACGTGCACACGTGTGTATGTGTCTGCTTCTTAAACCTTCAGAGACTAGACATATTCATCTACCTATCACTGTAATTTTAGAATCAAACTTTATATAACATGTGTATCTGTATAGCTCCAGATGCATTTATGGGAACACAGAATTTACAGGTTTGCAGTGGTAGACTGTTACATAAATCTCACTCAAAATCCAACCTATCCAAGTTGGTAAAAAAAAAAAAACAATAAAACATTTTGACACTAGAATTCATATCTTACATTTGTAAAGTCTTCTTTTCTCTCTCTCTCTGTAAAGTCCTCTCACCTGTGTTTAATTCTTACATACCAAAGTTGCCAGGGCATACTAAAGTTTGAGAACCATAAAGCCTAAAACAGTGATTCCCAAACATAAGAATAATTTGGAAAGATCCATGATGATATTATTTCCATTGTCCCACCTCAGTGGTTGCACTGAATCAGAATCACCTGCTGTGCTGTCTGTGCATTCATACTGTACAGGCAGGGGACCTTCATTGAGAAGACAAATATATAGGAACCAACATTTGTTTTAGGTTGTTTTGCTGTACAGGGCAATGTCCTCAATGGTTGGGAGACAAATGGAAGGCACCAGTTTGTGTTAAATGAAAAATCTTTGAAGACACATTCTGTAGCAATTTCTGCCAAAATATGTGTTGGCACAGAATTTGCCATGACCTGCGGTTTTAGAACTACACATTCATTAGTATAAAGAGGCTGCTGCTCCCATGTTCAAATGCCTACTCAGAATCTTGTTTGAAGGTAGAAAAACAGACATCTCAAACTCAAAAAATACGTAAAACAGAGCTTAGGATCTTTCACCTTAAACCTTTTCTGATCACACCTTAAATAATCGCAGTTCAAACAGACACTCTATTGCCCAGGGCAAAAATCGTGTCATTATTTTTGGCTTTTTGTTTTCTCACACCTCACAAGTATGCAAAGAGAAAAATCTAACACTTCCCCTGCCCCCAATCTACAGTGCTTTTATCTGATGCAATCAGTCCTGGATTTTTGCATTACTTGAAATGGTCTCCCAACTCTTAAAAGTACAATATGCATAGTCTCCTCACTCCCTTCCTACCCGTGTTCCCGAAGAAGCATTCCCTAACCCAGGAGCAGCTGCAATCCAATTAAAGGAAGTCAGATTGCTTCCCATCTTAAAACTCCTTACTGTCTTAACTCATGTCACAGTAAAAAAGCAAAAATCTTACATTACAGTTATGCAGCCCATATTCTTCCCCTCCCCATCCCACTTGACTCTCCTGTCTTACCACTCCCCACTTACTCATCATACTCCTGCTACCCTGGGTTTCATGCTGTTTTCTGAACACATATCCACTGAATGGTATGGTTGCCAATTTTAAGTACCAAATCTTCCTTTGTAACACCTCCTGCCTCAATGTAGAATACTACTACTCTTTTCCTTTGGTTTTGCTCCATAAAATGTTGACTTCCTAACACAGCATTGTTCAATGTAACCTTAAGCAAATGATAAGGTTCCACATCTATGATGATATACTCCATGCCAGCCACGGGAGGCTATTAAGCAGTGAAAATACAGCCAGGGAGACTGAGAAAGTAAACTTAAAAAAAGAAAAATACAAACAGGGTCTCACTATGTTGTCCAGACTGGTCTCAAACTCCTGAGCTCAAATCATGCCCCCACTTTGGCCTCCCAAAGTCCTGGGATTACAGGTGTGAGACACTGCACCTGGCTGTAATTTAATCCTATTTTTGTTATTAAATTTAAGTTAAAAATTTTTAAATGCAGTCATTTTGTTTTGTAACTAATTTTAATTAAATTAGAATTTAAATAGGCATGTGTGCTCGTGGCTACCATGCTGGACAGCACAGTTCGTCTAGAATTTATCTCTGTGTGTGTGCCTGTGTGTGCTTAATGAGGAAGAGATTAGTACTCCTTTTATTGACATTTAAGTACAATTTCAATCAGTACTACTGGTTGAAAAGACCATCTTTCCTTTGCTATGTATCAATGCCACTTTGGCAATAAATCAATTATCTATATATGAGTGAGTGTGTTTATACATTCGCTATTTTGCTTTTATTGGTCTATTTGTTTATCTTTGAGGCAGCTACATACAGCTTTACATAGCATATCAGCATAATGTCTTTATCAGGCAGAGTTGAACCCTTTAAATCTGTTCTTCAAGACTGAGTGACTTGGCTCTTCTTGTCTCTTTGCATTTACTCATGAATTTTAGAATATGCCTGTTGATTTTCACCAAAATAACCACACCAACCTGCAAGCAAACACCCTGCTTGAATTTTAATTTAGGTTTGCACTGAGTCAATATCTAGTTTGCAAGAACTGGTATTAGACAATATTGAGTCTTCTAATCAGTAAACATTTAATATTCCTCCATTTTTTTAGGACATTAGGTCATCTAAAGGGTGTTTTATACTTATCTGTGTAGAAACCTTGTATGTCTCTCATTAGATTTACTACCATATGTTTGAGAATTTTTATGCTATTGAAAATATGATCTCCTAAAAGCGTATTTTCTAATTTTTACTGCTGATGTACAAAATAAAATTAATTTTATATTTGACAATGACAATCCTAATCATAATACTTTATCTGTAAACTGTTTAGAGTATTTTAATATATAATCTGATTAACTACAAATAGTCTTTTTTCCCCCAATACTTATGTTTTCCATTTCTTTCTCTTACTTTATTGCACTGTCTAGGACCTCCAATACAATGGTGAAGAGAATGGTATTAATGCTGGTGACAGGAAAAGCTTTCCAATTCCACTATAAACTGTAATATATGCTGTAAGGTATTCTGGTGGGCACTGTTTATCAAAATGAGAAAACTTCCTTCTATTGGCCATTTGTGGAATGTTTTAAATTAAGAATTAATGCTGAATTTCATCAAACACATTTTCCATGATTATTAGTTTTTATGTAAACTTATGTAAGTAAAGAATTCAAGAAGATGTAAACCTTATGTTTACATACATTTGAAAAGTAAATATTGTTCAAAGCTTTTACATGTATTAATCTTCTCCCTGAGATGGTCTATCCTTCTTGTTTGGGGACATAATTGGAAATATTTCTTATTAGATGTTTTAGACAGATACCACATGCGCTAAAAGAGACATTTAAAATCATTACCATGTAATTATTTTTTAAAGATTTATTTTCAGTTCTTCTAAGGAACAGCACACATTTTGATCAAGTGGCAAATGAGGTCAACATTCTGCTTATTCCATTTTAATTTTGTGTATTTAAAACAAGCATGCAAAGTTAACTATAAAATAAAAGCTGATTAACTCACCGGTCATATTGCAATATAGAAGAAATGGTTCCAGGGGACCACTTCCATCTGAATCTATATAGTAAAACCCTGAAGCATTTCCTCTGTGCTTATAGGCTTCACATGACTGCTCATAGATAGCTTTAAAAGAAAGAATCAACATTGATGGAATAGCATGAAATGAATCTCTTCGCTTTTAATTTGGACATGAAATACGGCAAGTCTTGAAATTTAATACGTACATTACTAACTAGGAGAAAAGGCAAAACTTACTTTAAAACAAAACTCAATTATTTTAAAAAAGTAATACGGATGAAAGTGATTTGATGGAAAAAAATGAGGATAATTTTATGACTTTTTAATTGCTGAAGGAAAATGAAATCACTTGGTCAAAATCAAAATTTAGCTACTTTGACATTATGAAGAATAAGGAAAGAAAAGGTAGGTGTTAAATATTAGAGTCTTATACGTACAATGTCGTAACTTATCTTGTGGCGCACATTTTGGAATTTCTAATTCTAGTAGCACCTTTTAATAACCTAATGTCTAAAGCACAACAGTGTAACCTCATTAAATAACCTGCCGTTTGCCAGTAATTATACAATAGAAACATTTTAAATCATGTTGTAACTATACTCCATTCTTACGGAAAATTAACTATAGATAAAATATTTTTTCATAAAACAAATATCATTCACAAAGCTCCTCATCAATAATTTTTAGAGTAATTTACTAAAGAAACTCTCACCAATGCTCTATAATGAGAATCAAGGTAATTAAAATTCGAAGCAGAAGAAATACTTGTATGAACTATGCCCTCAAGTAGTTTCAATGTATTTTTAGATCCATAATTGGACATTTGGATGTTTTTAATCATATAATATTGTATTTGCCATGTACAAGGTTTCATATTAACACTTGTGTACAATGCACACCTCTCATTGAGCACTTGGCCAAATACGATGAGAACTTCCATTAAGCGTTTCATTCTGTGAAACGGGAAATAAACAATCCCCTGAATCTTCAACCCGGAATCTATTTGAGTTTTGAAAATTATGTTAATGAGTGGTTAGACAACACAAAACAATATGGGTAATTTGTTCAATGTTACCAAGATTTCAAGTAATCATATAAATTTACTTCCACACTTCTCCACAGTGTGACGGTTTTATGTTGTTCCTATTATATATCACACTGATAGAGAAATAAGCATGGATCGTTTTCCAGTCACATCTGCACTTTGTGCACTGACGTGGGCATGTAAAAATGACCAGTTTATATATTTCTATGTACACATGCCTATGTTCATAAAGTCCTTGAAATAGTTTGGCAGAACATCACAACTTTGTAGTTGTGGAAAAGGATTGGATGAGAATACTTGGAAGGACTTCTGCTTTATGTGTATGGCTTGATTTTTATATCATGACTGTTTAATGATTATTTCCTAATAAGGCTTTGTAACAAACCCAATTTCCTGCCCTCCACTATAACCAAGACTGTTGATATGGCTCCATTTCTCAGAATAGCTACGGAAAAAAAAACCCTTCAGCTCTATTAGAGCTGTCTTCTAAAGAACCTAAAAAATTAAACTCAATTACTGGATCAAATTGTAGGTCACAGATGAAAGTAACTTTATTTATTATCTAATTTTTGTCTTCAGAGTTGTTTGGTTTATATTTAGATTCAGTCATTGATAATAATTAAAATGAATAGTGAAAACACTGAAAAGCTTTCTGTTTTGAGTTAGTTACCACATGGGGATAATGGAGGATATAAAAAAAAAAAAAAACAAACACTGTCCCTCCACTAGCTGGGTGTCCTAGGTCAGATAACTGGGCATGTGGGTACAGGTGAGGAGATAGCTTCTTGGTACAGATGATGTGTGGCTTTCTCAACAGCAAACATTCTTCATAAAAATCCTATCAGGCACCTCAATATACACAATTCATGCCCAGGAATGACTCCAGCAGCAATAGTGGTATAACTGGGAGATTCTCTTGATGTCCTTCCCAGCATGGAATCAGGGCTTCCAAGGGTCCTCTGTGCAGGCCCCCAGAGCTGAGAGCCCAGGATTCCAATCTCAACTCTGGCAGGAGGACAAAGCAGAGTACAGTGTAACAGACCAAAGGTGATCAGACTGATGGCTTTGTACCTAATACCCATGACTTAAGTCAAGGGCTATAGGAGATAATACTAGTTCAGTTGCTCAGAAATGTCAGTAACGGTAGGGAAAAATGGGGGGATGGGTATTTTGGTCTTCCCGTAATATGCACTGGAACAACTGGACAATGAACTAACATGAGCCTTTCAACATATGCAAGCATTTCACCAGAAAAAAAAAAATGCATGATTTATAATACAGAAAAAAAAAAAAGGACATTGGTTGTTATCCCAGGCTCTAGAAGATGATGCCACATGTTCACAACCTCACTCTGCCTCAACTATTTTAAGTTGCTTGAACAAGTGGATTAATATCTATTACTTTATAAGTAAGTTGCATATAATTGTATTCACATACTAGGATGACCATCAGAATTAAAAGAGTTAGGACATATAAAATACTAGATAAGTACCTGACATTTAGAAAGTATTGAAGAAAATTAACTATTGATCTACCACCATAATTTAATCATTACCTACCATCCTTTTCCTTATCACCCTCATTAACTAGGTGGGGCAGGAAAATGTGAAGATTACCTAGTGCAATAGACTGAAGGTTTATGTCCCCTCCCCTGAAAATTCCTAATATGGTGGTATTTGGAGGTGGGCCCTTAGTGAAGTGATTAGGCCATGAGAGTGGAGCCCTCATGAATGGTATCAGTGCCCTTCTTAAAGAGATCCCAGGCCGGACACGGTGGCTCACATGTGTAATCCCAGCATTTTGGGAGGCCAAGGCGGGTGGATCACCTGAGGTCGGGAGTTTGAGACCAACCTGACCAACATGGAGAAACCCCATCTCTATTATAAATACAAAATTAGCTGGGCATGATGGCACATGAGTGTAATCCCAGCTATTCCAGAGGGTGAGGCAGGAGAATCACTTGAAGCCAGGAGGTGGAGGTTTCGGTGAGCTGAGATCGTGTCATTGCACTCCAGCCTGGACAACAAGAATGAAACCCCATCTCAGAAAAAAAAAAAAAAAAAAAAAAAAAAGGGAAAAAAAAAGAGACCCCAGAGAGATCCCTCAGCCCTTCTACCATGTGAGGACACAGTGAGAAGGTGGAAGTCTATGAATCAAGAAGCATACCCTCAACTAATCTGCTGGCATCTTGATCTTGATGTTCTCAGCCTCCAGAACCATGAGAAATATATTTCAACAGTTTATAGGTCACCTAGGCTATGGCATTCTGTTACAGCTACCCAAATAGACTACGACATCTAGTCTCCATTGGATATCTAAATCTTCATACCACAAATCACCCTGCCCCAAGTCCAGCCAGGGCTGTTCCTGAGAATCTCTTTGTTTAATAGTATGAATAGTAAGAATTTGGTAACTGATCACGGTTCCACTTGTACTGTGCCTTCTAGAAAGTTTAGTGTCAAAACGCTGGCCCAATTCAAGTAACAGAACGAGATAACTAAATTCACATTCTGCATGTAATTTATTTTCAATCCTTAGCTACCTTTCATCTTCTGTATGTATTTTCCCTTTGCCAGGTATTCTACTCTTTTCTTACCTATTTCATATTATGTGTTTCTACATGGAATCTTGACTACTTTATGAAACGAGATGTGGAATTAACAACTGGAAGCTAAGTTTGCACAGGCACGGACATACATACACATAGTAATGAAAAGGGAACTGGGACAAAGGAACCATCCCAGGGTCAAGAAAAAGCAGATCTGGTTCCACTTACAGTTATGGCAAGTAGCTCCTCTGTAACCAGTGTCGGTACAGTTACAATGGAAGGTGCTCCAAGACTGGGAACACTCCCCACCGTGTTCACAATAGTTGGGCAAACACCTAAAAGAAGGAGTAGTTACAATCACCAGTTTTCATTTTCAGACATCTTAAAGTATTGATCATTTACACATGGTCCTGAGAAAGACACACGTCAACTCTAACACAATGACTAATGATGCTTCCGTCTGTTGTTAATCACTTTAATCACAGAACTAAAGCTTAGATCAATAAATTCATCAGACTTCAGCCAATTCTCAGGTAGTTGCAATTACTTTGTTTTCAACATGTCTTACTGTATCAGAGCCCTTCGTTTGCCCTAAGAGACATAACACAATTCAATATGTTGCCAGGAATATCAACAGCATCCATGACATAACATTTTTATCACATTGAATTGCAACATTTTTCGAACACTGAAAGGAGAAGGAATAAAAATAAAAGTAGAAAAGAAAAAAAGGAACACAGAGAAACATCTTTCTTCACTTGAGGTATACGTCTAGGAACGTAGGAGAAGATACAGCATAGACTCAGATTTCAAGCAGTGTGTCGGGGTGCTGCTCTAAGGTGCAAATCAGAACTCATAGAGACTCCCAGGATAATTTAAGCTTTCAAGAGAAATATCTGTCATACTCAACATCTATCGAATACTGTGTGACTTACTAACTAGCTTGAGGTAGTTTAGTTTCGACATTACATCATCATGTATTCCCTTTAATCACATCCTATCTGTGAGGAGCAGGGTTTTAGTAACTGATTTTTTTTAAACAGCAAGTGCTGTGTGAAATCAACATTGAACAAAAAAATGAGGCTACTAGTGCCTGATCTTTCTTTTCTTTGTTTTTTGTTTTTGTTTTTGTTTTTGAGACAGAGTCTCACTCTGTTGACCAGGTTCTAGAGAGCAGTGGCGCAATCTTGGCTCACTACAACCTCTGCCTCCTCGGTTCAAGCAGGGGTTCTGCCTCCTGGATTCTCCTGCCTCAGCCTCTGGAGTAGCTGGGATTACAGGCTTCACCACCATACCCAGCTCTGGAGTCTGATTTGATTTCAAGTTTTGAAAAACTGAGCATTGTTCAATAGGTACACATGCCTAAACACTAAGTCACTGTGTTGAACTCAAAATAAAATTATTATTTTTTTTCCAATAATTTGTATTACTTTTTTCAAAGGGTTATTACTTTTTTCAAAGGGTTCCTAAGTTGTTAGGGTATATTTGTTAAGTTTTTTGGACCTAAACCACTTTTTAAGGTTAGGGATATATTTCTAGTGTTAGGAAGGTCTTTTGGCTTAAGGGAACAGTGAAAATTACTGAGACACATACGGAGCCACAGATTTAAAAAAAAGAAGAAGAAGAAAAAGAAGCTTAGAAACTTTTGTTATTGACTCAGATAGCCCTGATCAGATTTTTGAGGCCTTTACCATTTAGAATGAAACATACATTGTGATCAAGATTTAAATGCCCTCATTCATTAGAGGTTAACAAATAAATAAACTACAAAACCTGCAAGAATATATTTGTGATACAGTTTCTACCACTTCCTTTGTTAAAACTAAGGATGAGAACTTCCTGTTTTGCTTATATAATTCTTCCAATTTTAACTGAAAAATATTATGGATTTTTCCCCCCCTCATTATAAGGACTAAAATGGCACTAACATTCCCCTCAGCTTAACCAAAGTTCAAATAGGTTTCTTGTTGACTGTAGGCCCTGGAGTCCCCTATCTTAGAGCATTTACTTAAGAAAACTTAAAGTGATCAATTCTTTCTTTGTCCCTTTGAGATGTAAATCTTTTCCCAGTCTCTTGCCAGTTTCACAACCCAACAATATCCTTCAAGGACCTGGGAACCACCCCTTTAAAATGTAATCATTAAGAAAAATGGAGCCCCTGTCGCCCAGCCTCTGGGGAGGTAGGATCCTAACTCCTTTAAGCACCAATAAGAAAACACAGATGGCCTCATCTCAGTGACACTATTAGCCAGTTGTAAGGAAATAAATACTTATTAAGCTATTCATAGCTAAGCCACTTTTTAAACCAAAGTGTTAGATCTATCTTTCCACTCAGAGGCACAGTAAAGTTGCCTGGTCGCAGTGGCTCACACCTGTAATCCCAGCACTTAGGGAGGCCGAGGCGGGCAGATCATGAGGTCAGGAGTTTGAGCCCAGCCTGGCCAACATGGTGAAATCCGGACTCTACCAAAAGTACAAAAAATTAACTGGATATGGCGGCACATGCCTGTAATCCCAGCTACTCGGACAACTGAGGCAAAAGAAAGGCTTGAAGTCCGGAGGCAGAGGTTGCACTGCGCTGAGACCATGCCACTGCACTCCAGGTTGGGCAAGAGTGAGACTCCATCTCAAAAAAAAAAAAAAAAAATACTGAGACAGATAGCACATCACGTACAAATAGGCAGTGTATCAAGGACACTTTGGGAACTTGGGGTATGGACTCAAATAAGCCTGATCAAATTACTGATACCTTTTAGAATTCAGAATGAAACATACCAAGAGACCAAGGCTTTAAATGTCCTCATTCATCCCCAATTAAAAAATAAACTACAAAGCCTGCCAAGAATATATTCATAATAGGGTTTCTGCCATCTCTTTTATTAAAATGAAGAATGGAGAAACTTCATGATTTGCTTATAAAAATTTTTTCCGGCCGGGTGCAGTGGGCTCAAGCCTGTAATCCCAGCACTTTGGGAGGCCGAGGCGGGTGGATCACGAGGTCGAGAGATCGAGACCATCCTGGCCAACATGGTGAAACCCCGTCTCTACTAAAGGTGCAAAAAAATTAGCTGGGTGTGGTGGCCGCGTGCACTGTAATCCCAGCTACTCAGGAGAGCTGAGGCAGGAGAATCGCCTGAACCCAGGAGGCGGAGGTTGTGGTGAGCCGAGATCGCGCCATTGCACTCCAGTCTGGGTAACAAGAGCGAAACTCCGTCTCAAAAAAAAAAAAAAATTTTTCCAATTTAAACTAAAAACATTATGCATTTTGCCTAATTATAAGAAAATGAAAAGTCCACTGTACAGAAATTAAACAATCCAGGAGAAAATAAAAAAGAAATGTCATTGGCAATTTCATTGTGTATGAATGACCACTACAAACATGTAGATATGTATATATATATTCATAAATGTAAAAATAACACTACTTTACAATCTGCTTTTAAAGAAACCAAAAATTAATAATCAGCATCTTTTTATACTCATTAAGTTTATATATATTTAGCATTTTTATAGATTCATAGGAATTCATTCAAAAATGTATCATGATTTATTTAATTTTAAGCATTTCGAATCAATGACGATGTATAAAACCAAGGAGATTTTAAAATATCAAAACAATAACAATTCTCAGTAATCAAACTTAAAAGGAGATTATTCAGAAAAGCCTTTTTTTAAAATCTACTGGGTATTTTATGTTTTTTTTTTAAAGTGTTATTTTAAGTTCAGGGGTAACTTAGGTGCAGGTTTTTTATGGGGTAAACTTGTGTCATGAGGGTTTATTGTACAGATGATTCCATCACCCAGGTACTGAGCCTAGCACCCATTAGTTATTTTTCCTGATCCTCTCCTTCCTCCCACCTCCAGCCTCCAGCAGATCCCAGTATGTGTGTTGTTCCCCTCTTTATGTCTATATATCCTCATCATTTGGCTCCACTTGTAAGTAAGGAACATGCTGTATTCGTTGCATTAGTCTTCTCAATGGCACAGACCGGGAATCAATCTAAATGCTCATTAATGATAAACCAGATAAGAGAATGTGGTTCATATACACGATGGAATACCATGCAGCCATGAAACAGAGTGAGATCACATCCTTTTGCAGGAACACAGATGGAGCTAACAGACCACTATTTATAGCAAACTAATGCAGGAACAGAAAACCAAAGGCTATTCTTTAGCAACCTCAAACTACATTTCCAAAAGGAAATCAACTAAGTGGCTTTGCCTAAAATCCAAAAGAAAGACTCCTTAAATGATTGTGATACCATGCTATTTCTATTTATCTGCTTCAAAAAGACAACAGAGTCAATTTTCTTGATTCTTGTTAGACTAGGTTTTCATATTTTTAATTCAAATGTGAAAGATTAAAATTGTGGATTTTATTTAAAGTCATTCTATTACAGCAATGTTTCTACTAGTAACCAATGACAACATGTTCGATAGTACTCATTCTCACCCAGTGTTCTAAACAGTTGTGTTTTACATTTTTCTCCTCCCTACCACTCCAATTCAGATAAGACAATCCATTAACCCATTCCCTCCAGCCACTAAAGCTTTTCCTTGGATATTGCCATCATTTTCATTGCTTGTGAACTTTAACAAATGCTTACATCAACATATCCAAACCTAAAGTGATAGTAAGATTTTGATGTCTCCTGATTCCCTTTCCATTTCAATGTAAATTTCAAAAGCTTTCATACAATGTGAAGACTGGCTGGAATTAATATTGTAGTAAACTCTACACATGATCACATTTAGGAAAACAAACTTAAGTGCCTATGAGTGCTAGGGATGATCATGACCATCACAAGTCATATGTTTATACTCTTCCTCAGAATGTTGATAGGGACAAGAACCAAGCTCCTCATATGCCTAACCCTCGCCTCCAAAAGGGCCATGCCTTCAGTATTCCAGGAGGCAGAATAACGCCATGATCTTCAGATCAGCTGGAACAAACCCCACGTGTAAGCATAAGGAAGAAAGGGCAGGCTTGAGGGCTTCATGGAGAAGAGGCAAAGTAGGCAGGTAGAAACTCCACCAGAAAGGAGGAGGGAAACGATGGGCCTGGATGGAGGATGGTGCCACGGAGGCTGGAGGCCAGAGCCCGAGGGCCAGGTACTAGGGGTGAATTGGAAGGACAGGTGATGGAGGTGCAGAGGCTGGAGCCGAGGAAGCCAGGAACTGGTACTGGGCTTGCTGAGGTCACGAGGTGGACACTGTCACTCGACAGCCTCTTAGTTCCTGTCAGGGGTCTCTGCAGCCCAGGCGTCCTTTGATAACAAATGATATACTAAACAATTTCCTTTAATACGTGTTTTAGGTCCAAGCAAATTCGTAAGAATGTTGTCTTAGCAGCCATCACTCCTGCCCCAGCCCCGCTCACATTTTGGACCCAGATGTGGGGACTTGGACAGCAGCTGGCTTTTCAGTTCTGTACTCCCCTATCAGCCACCCCTCTCCAGAGTCCCCGGACTGAGGGCCACCCTGCTGCACGTCCACGGAGGATGAGGGGAGGTCTTCTAGGTGTATGTGTGGTGGCAGAATGACTCTGTATAAGGAAGATGTGAATATAAGAAGTGTGGGTAGGACTTACGGGTGGAGGAGTGTATAAGGATGGTCATGTGCATGTGTATGAGTGTGCATTAATAAAAATATGTGAGGAGTTGAGCAAATGTGTGTAAGAATGGTGTGTGAATGTGTTAAGAAGCTCTGGGCTATGTGAATGAGCATACGAGTGTATATATATAAGAAAAACTGTGTGGAAAAACCACAGTGGTGCATGAGTGCAGACAGTGTGTGTGAATAGCCATGTAATATGAACACGAGCATGTATGTGTATTTGTAATTACACCTTTATGTGTAGGTCTGAGCCAACTTAAAGTCAATTATAGTTTTTAAAAACCTGCATTAATTTCCTGTCAGATTGTTAATGTTTTTAATGTTACTGCTTATTTTTAATTATAGTTTATTAAACCATCAAATGATATCTTTATTATGCATGGATTAAATATTAACCACCCCACATGTTAAATTGCACCCAGAGGGGCTGCATGGCATGGCAGGCAAACATTTAGGGGACTTTCCTGGATCCAGCATGCTTGGATTAGAGGCTGGGCTATGCCTTTTCTTAGACATGTCATGTTAGCCAACTTACTCTCTCTGTACATCTGATCCCATATTTATAGAAAACAAACACTATTAAGAACAGGTTCTAAGAGATTTTACGAGGCTTGATTTAAATGTTCATTCATGTTAAGTGCTTAGCACGAGGCCTGGTATACAGACTTTTTTTTAAAGGTCCATTTAATGTATGGGATGCCATCCATCTTGGGATACCATGTCAGCAAGTATAGCATACAAGACCAAACTAAATAAAAATCTTCTTCGAGTATAAGACAATATGTTTAGAGATACACGTGGAAATTTAGAAGGTACACAAATGTTACTTGATTTTTGCTATTTTTTTTAAAGATTGTTAGGGTTGCTGTTAGCCTAAAGCATCTTTTAAAGAGAAACATGTGTAGTCAAGATCTATCAAGATGCTATTTCTGAAAAAAGCATTTTTATGGTATGGTACTAAAGTGATATATTCTCCAATTGCGCTGATGGTCCTCTATCTTACAGAAAGTATCTACCCTCAGATTGTAGGCAACTGGGAGCCCTTATATAAAATGGCAGTTCCAGAACATGTTTACACAGGACAAAGGGTGGATATACTTGTACCCAATGAATGCTCTGCAATCTGAAATAGCCAACATGCACTATCACTCAGTGTGTGTGACTGACCCTCTCCCTGCCAGTTTCCCTGATGGCTGCTCCCCATCTGGCGATGGGGAGTCCCTGCCTCTGTGAACAATCCTCATATTAAGAAGTCAGGCCCAGGAAGCCTCACTGCGTGCCCTTCCCCAAATCAGATTTTAGGTTCCAGAGCTGTTAAGGTTGTAACTATGAACAAGTTAAAAAAATTGGACCCAGAAGTCATTCAATCCTCGAATCAACCCAGTTGAGGTTTAATGTCTAAATTATCTCTTTCATGTCATCTTTCATTATAGAAAGAATTTTTTTCAACAGGCATGGTGGCTCACACCTGTAATCCCAGCACTTTGGGAGGCCAAGGTGGGTGGATTACCTGAGACCAGCCTGACCAACATGGAGAAACCCCGTGTCTACTAAAAATACAAAATTAGCCAGGCAGGATGGCACGTGCCTGTAATCCCAGCTACTCGGGAAGCTGAGGCAGGAGAATCGCTTGAACCCGGGAGACAGAAGTTGTGGTGAGCTGAGATAGCTCCGCTACACTCCAGCCTAAGTGACAGAAACAAAACAATGACTCAGAAAAAAAGAAAAAGAAAAGAACTGTTTTCTCGGCAAATTGTTTTAAATAAACAAACATTTGTGGGGAGGAAAGTATGTCCTTCTAATCCTATTGCTAAATATGATTATTATTACTGTTTTTGGGACATAATGAAGTATTAGTGTTCAAAATAGGATTGACAAATACTACTGAGTGGTCTGTTGTATACAAATAGAAGAGTCTTTTTGTTGACAAAATGTTTCATGAAAGTAAAAAGTTACTTTTGATGCTCACAATTTATGTATTTATTCAAAATACATATTGAACATGACTACAGGGTTGAAGCTAATTTTGTCACACTGTTTAAAAAATTGTTTAATCTGTAATGGTTATGACATTCCATTAAACTCAATAATTAAAATTAACAGCCTTGATATTAAAGCATGACTGACAAGATGACTTAGCTATAGTTGCTCATGCTTAACCACAGGTTTCAATTATTATTAACTATTAATTATTATTTTTGGTTGGGTGTAGTGGCTCATGCCTGTAATTCCAACACTTTGGGAGGCTGAAGTGGGCAGATAGCTTGAGCTCATGTGTTCAAGACCATCCTGGGTCACATGGCAAAACCCTGTCTCTACAGAAAAAAAGATAAAAATTAGCCAGGTGTGGTGTTGCATGTCTGTAGTCCCAGCAACTTGGGAGGCTGAGATAGGAGGATTGCTTGAGCTAAGGGGGCAGAAGCTGCAGTGGGCTAAAATCACACCAGTGTACTCCAGCCTGGGCAACAGAGCCAGACCTTGTCTCAAAAATACATATATATTATTTATAAGGTTATTTGTCCTCCACAATTAACTCTAAGTTCTGCCTTGTCATGTCCTATACTGATGCTCTTACTGAAACTCTTTGATCATCCTTGTATCTTGATCAATACTACAGCCCCAACCTTCTCTAGAGAAGAAATTCATTTTTATTTTCCCTGCAGAGAAGACGGTAATGAGTTTTCAAAAAGGCACATTAGGAAAATTGTAACCACCTGAATTCCCCTGCCTTGGAAAATATTCCACTGTCAGGGTCTCAAATGTCAGTTTAATAACCAACCACACAGTCTGAAATTTATTGGTATTTGATGATCAATTTTACTATTCACGTGCCTTAATATATTGAGATTAGCGACCTATTTTTGATACATCTACACTCATCTAAAATTACACCAGCATCAACATTATCTTTAATGAACTGGCAGCATGTGTACATACGTGGCCATACATAACATGGCCAAGTCTTCCAAATTTTGTCATTTAAAATGTGACATTTAAACAAAGGGTGCATTTTTTCTTATCTCTAATGAAATACAACCCATTTCCTGTGGAACAGATAAGAATGAGGAAGAGGAGAGAATAATTGTCCATCTTACATATAAATTTTCATCTGATGACAAAATTTGAAAGTAGGTTGAAATGAAGTCAGATTGTCCTTACCTGTCTGAGATGCCACATGAGTCTATCTGAAGGTCGCTGAAGTTCCCAAGGGACCCCTGCTGAATTAAAATCAGATCTACCACTTTGCCGCTGATAGAAATGAGCCTCATACATCCCTGAAATCCACCAAGTGGACTTCTACATTTGGATCCAAAGCTTTTGTCAGGACAACCTGATAAAAACAAAATTAAACCACTATGCATCATAATGAATCAGAATTCAGTATCATAGACAACTTCATTTTAAAAAATAAAACAAATAGGCATATGATTATTTTCTGTATTCAAGCAGGGAATAAGGACTGTAGTCATTATTAGTTTGATCTAAATTACAAATTGAAATTCATACAAATAATTTTTTAATTACATAGCATTCCCAGGTAGTCACTAGTATTATAATAATGTGCAAGGATATTAATTTGATCTAGATTTGAAAAATATACACATTAGCTCCAGAATCCTAAACATGCCAGCCAGCAATATTAAACTATATATAACTTACAGATGGGAACATAGTATTTTGAACTGCAAAATTAAAAGAACATAAAAGATGAATACATGTACTATGTATAAGAAAAGATACTTTAATAATGGTGAAATGTCTTTGATGAAATACATGTACTATGTATAAGAAAAGATACTTTAATAATGGTGAAATGTCTTTGGTGAAATTTATAAAGCTAACTATTTGGAAAATGGGTTATCTTGACTTGGAATAACATTACCAACTGTTTATCAAATTAATTATTGTATTTTCCTATAAATAAAGGACAAATGCTTGAGAGGATAAATACACGGATTTTAGTAAGTCTTGACGGTTTAACATCAAAAAAAATTTCTCAGTTTGATTTTATTTATTCTTTGCCTCACAAAAGAATGTTTTATTTATACTGATTTTTTTACTAATGTTTATATAACTCTTGTTTACAATTATTTAATAAATATAAAATTAATCATTATTGTCCGTGGTTTAATGACATTCTAAATGTTTCTTTATCCAAGTGGAATAAATGAGTTTATGGAGTATGAATATGGAGTCTGAATACATATATTACAATTTTCAATTTGTGTAGGTACATGGTAGGTGTATATATGGGGTACATGAGATATTTTGAAACAGGCATGCAATGTGAAATAATCACAACATGGAGAATGGGGTATTCATCCTCTGAAGCATTTATCCTTTGTTTTACAAACAAGCCAATTAAACTATTTTAGTTATTTTAAAATGTACAATTAAGTGATGACTGACTACAGTTACCCTGTTGTGCTATCAAACGGTAGGTCCTATGCGTCCTTTCTAACTGTATTTTGTACCCATTAACAATCTCCCACTCCTCCCCAACTCCTATGACCCTTCCCGGCCTCTTGCAACAACACGGAGGGAACTGGAGATCATTACGTTAAGTGAAATAAGCCAGGCACAGAAAGACAAACATTACATGTTCTCACTTATTTGTGGGACCTAAAATTCAAAACCATTGAACCCACTGACATAGAGAGTAGAAAGGTGGTTATTATATTATTTTTCATTAATCTTCATTTGTTTGCCATGATAGTCATCAATCACTATCACAATTTCAAAGAATAAGAGGTGAGTCAGCAACTTCTTAATTCCTGTACAATCCACACTACTTTTCTACCTGCAGAATTTCTATTATAATTAAATTGTTGGACTGATAATATTTTTCCTGAATGCTCTGTTTTCCTGACAAAATACATTCACACAGCAAGTAAAGGATAGCATTCAAATTTAAAACTACTATCAGACACATTGAAAGATTTTATTTTAACCTAATGGAGACTTCGAAGTTTCAAATTTAATGTATCAGGAAAAATTCATCAGAGTTTTTTGAGCATTAATTTATTGTATGGTACTACACACACTTCCAGTGCTTAAATTTCTTCTGTAGTGTACGATATGGTTACCATAATCTCAGTACGTATTCTGGATGACTTATTAGCCAATTAAGAATGTTAGGGTAAAAACTGAAAGGATAATAGTTCAATAATATTTTGAAGCAACTACAATATGCCAGGAATATAAATAACTCTGCTAATCTTCTTTTCTCCAGGTGGTATTTCCTGACACATCTCAAACGAATTCAGAATAAAATAAATTGTGCAATATGCCTGTAGGGAACAAAACTAAGCCAACCCAGAGTCACAAGGAAAGATCATGGAATTTTACAGAAAGCACGCTATGCTATCATGAGGCACTTCATATTCCTAGCTACAATGTTCAGTAAGCAAGAGACTCTAGGAACAAAGAGGGGTTCAACCCAGGTTAGTGTCATTAGTCTATGATAAGAGGCAGCAACAAGTTAATATAAGGCAATACCAGAGAGAAGTTCAGCACTGAGCCCAATTTGAGATGAAAGTCCTAAAATAGGAAGATTTCTGAAGAATACTTAATGCTGAATTAATGGATGGATCCATTACTGGAGGCAGTCAGCATGTTAAGCACCTCTGAGGATAACAGATAAATTATCTCTATATGTCACTGCAGCAGAAGTGAGATGTCAGGTTAGACTTCACAGTGCTGTAGTCAGTTCATTTGATGGAGAATATTTGCTTTACACAAGGGAGGGGGATGTGAGAATTTTGCACACAGTATCCCCAGCTTGTGCTGCATGGCGTGTTAGGCATTGCAAAAGATTCCATAAGGGAATTTACAGACATCAGACACTCAGCCATCCTTAATCTAGAGAATCTAAATGTAAAATATGTAATTTATAAATGATAAAAGCTTAGCAGAATGTACCACCACAATGCAGTCTGACTGTGAAAAGCACTTGTTTGAGGCTGGGAAAAAAAGTAAAGAGTAGTAAGTGATGGACAGATACTAGAAGTCTGGCATGGCATATATATAGATGGCTGCTAGTTCAGGACCAGCCCACTCTCCCAGTATGACAGCCACTATCAAGACTGGTAAAGAGTGGAGCTATTATAACTGGAAACTTACGGTTAAATTTAGAGAGAAGGAGAACTGATGAGATGTGTCTCACAACATGAAATAACTTCTTACTTGAACATAAACTGGCTGAAGAATTATCTAAAAAACACTTTCCACTAGACAACACAGATCCTAGTGATAGAGAAGAGTCTCATCTACATAGAACTTTCCAGGGTCAACGACTGTCACAGTTTGCCCAGGACTGGGGAGAGGAGGTTGTTCCCAGGATGAAAGATTTTCAGCTAAAATTGGCAAGAGTTGATCTTGTACCGCATTCCCTGTACCACCCAAGTCCCTGTGCCAGTCCTGCATTTTAGGGAGCCGACTTTAGTCTTCCTCCAGCCATGCTCTAGCCCATGGTACCAGGAGGCCTCACAGGAAAAGATGATGTGTCCAGTTAGAACCTTTCCCCTCTAGTTCACTCCCAGGATCCACAATTCCCAGCCTAAAACCCGTAAGTGGGCTTCCTGGAAGATGGATCTCCTTAACCTGGTTCTGGAAATACAAGGCTGGGCAGTGCAGGGCAGACTTGGGCAGCAGGCCTTCTGCTGTCATCCGGCCCCTTGCTTTCAGCCCTGAAAATCTGAGGGTGGCCTGGATTTTGCAGAGCTTGTATTTAATGATCAACACAACCTCATGTCAAGGTCAAGCACATTCTGATACAGAAGAACAACAATTTAAAAAATGATTGAATAAACAGACATACCTAAGGAAACCTGAGATTCATAATTTTTTAAGAAAACCCTGAAGTTGGAATTTTATTGTGGAAGCTCTCACAATATAGTATTTAGAAACACCTTAACAGATGTAAAATTAAAATAAATATGAAAGAAGAATAAACCCCAAATTCAGGAGAGCGTTTACATGGGAAATCAAAAGATAGGATTCAAGGGACAGACATGCATTGATAATCCGTCTTTAGCAGAGGGACACAGGGGTAGGTGTGTACTTAAGAAAAATTGTTAGTAGTCTTTAAAATGTATATATACTGTAAGGTGTGAACAACAGGAAACTGGACGTAGGGTGTGCAGGAACTCTCTATATCTTTGAAACTTTTCTGTAAATCTAAAACTATTCAAAAACATTTGTTAAAAAAATGATGTATATTAGGCCGGGCGCGGTGGCTCAAGCCTGTAATCCCAGCACTTTCGGAGGCCGAGGCGGGTGAATCACGAGGTCAAAAGATCGAGACCATCCTGGTCAACATGGTAAAACCCCGTCTCTACTAAAAATACAAAAAAAAAAAATTAGCTGGGCATGGTGGCACGTGCCTGTAATCCCAGCTACTCAGGAGGCTGAGGCAGGAGAATTGTCTGAACCCAGGAGGCGGAGGTTGCGGTGAGCCAAGATCGCGCCATTGCACTCCACCCTGGGTAACAAGAGCAAAACTCTGTCTCAAAATGATGTATATTATATGTATCATAATCAAAACAAGCAAAATCACTGAGTACATATGCGATATATTTTACCTATAATAACATTACAGTATGAGTAAAAGCAATAGAGTAAGAATTTATACAAACTAGGTAGGCATTGTTAAACCTGAACGCGAAGGACATAAAATATGTGAAGAACAATGATTCTACTTTCATGATTTACAAACAATTTTATCCAGTCTTTTATTTTGCATCATTTAACAATAGGCCTATTTTTTTTTTCTTATCTCTGTTAGTGCTTCTAAATCTCTTCCTTTGAAGTGAAAGCTCTTGGTTAAGTTGTTCCATATATCTTACTATTTATTAAAAGAATGTGTTACTATGGATTGCCATAGAATCAATCATATATTCCAAAGGGTTTTATAAGCAGCCTGGTTTAAACATCTCAGTAAAGGAAGCAATTATATATTTTCAGATTGCTGGCCCTAAGCAGCCTTTTAAAGTAATGGATTATGTAGCAGTTATTTTGTTTGTTTGTTTCTCTGCTTTTAGGATTCTATAAATTGATTCATGGACTGTGTGCTCACTGTCAATACTTAGAAAAGAATTTGTATTTTATTAGTGAATAATAAAGACTGGGCTACCTCTATCAAATTCAAAAAATGACTCCAGATAGAAGCAATTATTAAAACGCAACATAACAACGACAAAACAATGCAAATATAAGAAATACCTCAACATGATTAGAAGTGAGTCTTACTTCCGGCAGTTTTAAAACATTGCATTTCTAATGGAGAAGAACATTGGTTTTAATTTGCCAGTGATAAAAATTCATTTCCATTTTTTGGGTTTTCTTTTCCAAGCTTTTAGTTTAAACACCATCCACTGGGCAGGTGGACGCTTCATTTGCTTTTATTCTCTAAGGGAGATGAGCTGGTGTCAAAGGCTGATGTTCTGATTTCATCAAATGTATCGGTGCATTATTGCTTAGCAAGGAGAAGAGGTTGCTGTGGCTGATTAAGTTAAATTATTTGACCATTGGCATAATATTGTCCTTCTGCATTGGACAGTAGGGAAGCAATAGGGATGCTCTGAAGGAGCTAAGAGGCATAATCAAGAAAACACTGCAATTAAATCAGCCCATAAAATCAGAAGAAGACATATAAGGATCATTTAACATTAGGAAAATATAACAAGGTTTGAAGGTAAGAACTGAAGAGGGTGGCCTACTTAAAATCAATCTCATTATAGAAATTGTAAACATAAGTAAGTCCACCTTGCAGAAATGCACTTCAGGTCAGAATTTTTTGACTGGATCCACCCAAAATTTCCACGGTCAAAGACAGTGAACAATTATTCCTTAGTATTCATATTGGTTAAAACATGATGACTTCCTCAGGACACAGGAGCACTAATGCAAATATGGTTCAGTTGCTCATAGAGTCCGATGCCTAGTCTTACCTCCAAAATAATAGGTGCCACCTGAATAAATCTGCTCAGGCCCCAGCAGAGGAGTAGCAGAAACCATATGGCCATCCACCGCCACACTCAAGTGATTCTTTTTAGCAGATAAAGAGACAGAATGCCACTGCCCATCATTTAATCCGACACCTGGGGAGATGAAATCAGTTAGAGCTCTCTCTCAGTAGTGAACACCGTAAGAAGTTGGTTACAAACAGTAATACACACATCACTCAATTGGGTACAGTACTTAACTCGATTAACTAAAAACAATGACATCAACAAGTAAAGGGAGGCAAATGGGAAACCAGCATCCTCTATGTGGAAAACAGGGTATTCCAAAATTCACAACCCTGGACAATCCTGGATGGTTAAAATAGTTCAATAATTTGTCATAGATTGATTTTAGCTTCCATCTATGGAATTCCCTTCTTAGGGAGGAAGGGCTTAAGAATTCCCAAAATTCAAAGTTCTATCCAATAAAATGGTTTACCCACTATTCCACACTTTTGTGCAACCATCTTTTTATAGTAGAATAACAGGATATTTAGCAAACAATATCATCAACTATTACAAAAATATTGCAATAAATTATTAATAGTGACAGTTTACAGGTATAACATAAAGTTAAAAGATAAAGCACCATGAAACCTATTTATATGCAGTTGATCCTCATAATTTGTAGATTTTATATTTGAGAATTTGCTTCCTCATTGAAACTTACTTATAACTCTCAAATCTTAAATATTTGAAGGGGCTATCTCAGTCATTTGAGGACATGTACAGAGCAGTAAAGAACTTGAGTGGCCCTCTCCACATTTCCTGCTGAGGTCAAACAGAGCAATGTTGTCCCTTACTGCTTTAGCTCTCATACAATAAGCAACACTTTCTTTAAATTTTTTTAAGTTTTTTCGTGATTTCACTGTTTAAAATGGCCCCCAAACATCATGCTGAAGTGTTGTCTAGCATTTCTAAGAGCAAGAAGGCTGTGAAGTGTCTTTTAGAGAAAATGCATGTGTTAGCTAAGTTTCATTCAGGCATGAATTATGGTGCTGTTGGCAGTAAGTCCAATGTTAATGAATCAACAACATTACACGAAATAAGACATCCTTAAACAGAAACACAGATAAAACAAAATTAGGCTCCCAGGAACCTTACTCTGTATTTCTCCCAGGAGCAAAGGTTCAGTATTCCCTAATTCAGTGTTCACAGACATTTTGGAAAATAACTGTAATAAATAATGCGAATAAACTCTGTATATATTTATACACAATTCTAATTATATTCTTATATAAGTAGGGAAGGGACTGAACAGAAATGTTCTTACATGGAAACAGTAGTTTTTTTATGAAGGAAAAATGTAATTGTTTCTATTTACTTAAATATTTTCCAAGTTTATACATATATATGTGTGTGTATATATGTATAAAGTCAAAAGTTGCTAAAATAAAAAATCAAGGTATTCTTATCACCTCTAAAATCAATCTCTAGTCCCTTCTAAGGAAGTCCCAGTGTCATGAATCCATCAGAATGCACAGACTTTTCCTCTTACAGGCAATCAATTCTGCAAGGAGCTCCGTGGTTAAATACTGAGCAGAGACAAGAAATCTAAGTGTCTTTGTCATGAATTTACCAGTCAGTTTTACATTCATTTGAATAGTCAACTCTGTGTGATTCTGCAGATCAAATTAGTAAACAAAAACTATAAGCAATCTACCAAACCCAACAGCCTCTTTTCGGATATTACATGTGATTCTTTACTGATTTTATGCAAACATCTTTTCTGATATATGTGATTTCTTTTATTTCCTCAAGCAATTTCTACCACATGCATTTCGAGTGAAAAATGCATCAAAGTTCCCTTAGGTGATTCCTGTCTTTGCCATGGACGTATTTAGCGTAACACAAATTTTAGCCAGGGCACACTTTTAAATCATATCCATGAACCAAAAAAGATTATCGAAGACCCAACTCTAGTTTGGTTTGTGAAAGATAATAGGAAAGGTCTGAAAACTGGAATAGGAAGAATGTAGGTTAGATACTTTTAGACACATTTTCTAAGAGTGGACTCTGAAATAGACAGCTGAATAGAGTTATGTAATCCTTGAGCGTATAGGACTGGATTAAAATAAATCAAATGTCCTAGATTTGTCATCCAGTGCTTCCTTTAAGACAGATTTCCCCCATTTAGAGTGAAATTTCTTATATGCTCTTTGTGTCACATGTACAGGCCCTTCCCAGTCTACCACCTGCCCCTGGCGTTTCTCCTCCACCTCATTCTCAAAGTCCTGTGTGCAAGACTCTACTTCTCTTATTTTATTTTAGGCTTTCCATTGGTGTCCGACAGTTCTTCTGAAACTATCTGTGGGGATGAACATTTTATTTTCTGATCTATTGCAAATTGACATTTTTATAAAATATGATGAAAATAAATTACTAAAATAATAGATTTTGGCAAGGTTGCAGAAAAAAGGGGAATGACTATACATTGTTAGTGGAACTGTAAATTAGTTCAGCTTCTGTGGAAAGCAGTTTGGAGATTTCTCAAAGAACTAAAAATAGGATTACTATCCAAAGAAGCAATCCCATTACTGGGTCTATACCCAAAGGAAAATAAATCATTCTACCAAAAACAGGGGACCCAATCTCCACAGCCATGGACCAATAATGATGGGTCTGCAGCCTGTTAGGAATCAGGTCACACAACAAAAGATGAGTGGCTGGTAGGCAGGCAAGCGAAGCTCCATCTGTATTTACAGCTGCTCCCATCACTTGCATTACTGCCTGAGCTCTTCCTCCAATCAGATCAGCGGTGGCATTAGATTCTCCTAGGAGTTCTAACCCTACTGTGAACTGTACATGGGAGACATCTAGGTTGCACACTCCTTATAAGAATCTAATGCTTGATGATCACTGTCTCCCATCACCCCCAGATGGGACCATCTAGAAGAAGAAAACAAGCTCTGGGCTCCCACTGATTCCACATTACGGTGTGCTGTTTAATTATTTCATTATATATCAAAATATAATAATAGAAATAAAGTACATAATTAATGTCATGTGTTCGAATCATCCTGAAACCATGCCCCCTCATCACAGTCCATGGAAAGACTGTCTTTCATGAAACCAGTCCCTGGTGCCAAAAACGTTGGGCACCACTGACCAAAAAGATGCCTGCACTCACATGTTTACTGCAGTGTTATTTATAATAGCAAAGACATGGAATCAACCTAGGTGCCCAGCAATGATGGAATGGATAAAGAAAATGTGGCACATATACAACACAGAATACTATGTAGCCATTAAAAAGAACGAAACAACATTGTTTGCAGCAACATAAACGCAGCTGGAGACTATTATCCTAAGCAAATTACCACAAACACAGAAAACCAAATAGAGCATGTAAGTGGGAGCTGATTGTTGGGTACACGTGGTCATACAGATGGGAACAATAGACACTGGGGACTTCAAAAGGGGAGAGGGAGCAGGGCAAGAATTTAAAAACTACCTGTCAGGTACCATGTTCGCTATTTGGGTAATGGGTTCAACTGAAGCCCAAATCTCAGCACAGTGCAATACATCCATGTAATGACCTGCACTTGCACCCCTGAATCTAGAATTTTAAAAAATAAAATAATAAATAAATAAGACACAAAATACAAGCCCAGTAACGATATGCTTAGATGTTGCAGTGATCTCCTTTCATCAGTTTCTAGGTGTTTAATCTCCATTTTTACGTTTATCTCATCACAGATCGGTAACAAGTATTTCACTGAGCCAGTGCTGGTCCAGGGACCACACTTTGAGTAGCAGGGCTCTGGGCAGTCATTGGGTAAGCATGCAACAAGATTGAGCAAAAGACCTGGGGAGGCCTATTGTCCGCAGAGAAGCAAAAACTAGATTAAGAACAAAAGACTGCCAAAGCAATCCACTCTGTAATTTGGCACACATTTAAGCACACTCATCTAGCAAGCTAGCAGGTGGCAGGTTGTGACTGGAATAAAGTTGTGCCATGTTTGTGAGGGAACCTTCAGAAAGCATTCCCCAAGCCTCCTTCCTAACAAACATTATTTACCTATGATGAACAGACTGAATACCTGTCAATGGAATTTATTACTCAGATTAATTCACAAAAGGTCCCTTTAATTCATTTCGACTAACTCTACCGAATTTTAAATTAGATCCTAATTGTTTTGTAAGTATACAACTCCTTTCCATTTCTGTGTCTGATGATAGGTTGGCCCCTTTTAAAGGCCACGCCACTGTGAAACAGGAAAGAGAAGAAGTCACAGAATTTGAATTTTTTTCTCGTTTATGATACTGTGTAACTAAATGAAAATTCTATGCATCAGTCCCACTACTCTTAACTTTTAAGTGTGGGGAGGAACATGCTGGTATAAGAATAAAATAATAATTTTACTGAGGTATTACTCATAACAGGTTCACAGTACCTGTTATGCATTGTATCAGTTAATCTTCACTATAACTATTATTATTCTCACCTTAAATAAGGAGAAAATGAGGCTCAGAGAAAAACAAACGATTGAGGTCATATCTAGCTGCTGAATAGCTGAAGGAAAACAGAAAACCAAGATTGACTCCAAACCTACACTCTTCTCTGTCAGCAAGACAGGTTTTCCCATTATTTTATTTTATTTTATTTTATGTTTTGCTCATGTTGAACAATTAATTCTTAAGAAAAACAGGACCCAACAGCTAGGACATGGCCTAGCACCATCAGTGAGGCGTTGGTGCTGTAAGAATCTGGCTGGGCTGGATTCTTTGGACTGGGCTTTGGTATTCTCCTGCTGAACATCAACAATATCACAGAACACCAACATCAGACAAGGCGATTCTATGACTATAATGAAATGAGGGTGGGGAAAGATCAAGACTACTTTATAATCATGTCCAAACACAGACAGAAGCAAGGCTACTGTACAAACCACAAAAACACAACCTTCTTTCTCTCCTGATACTATGAATGATCAATTGTTTGGTCTTCTATTTACCAATTACATCTTTAGCTTTACTTCCTTCTTTCATCCTTCTAGATAAGGTTTACAAAGATATCTAATCATAGAATTACCCTCAGTTCCTAACAGCATGTAGTCTACAGCAATTTTTCCACTTTCTTGAAACTTCCCTCGAATCAGCAAATACAATACAAATCCCATACCATCCTAACACCTTTGTCTTCAGACAACCCTCGGTTTCCAGGGTGTGTTCTTTCTGTTGCACTAAGCAATAAATTCAACTTGTTTAACTCCGGAGACGTTCATTGCTGTCTCTGGCTAGAAAACATTGACAATGCCAGTTGGAATAATGGAAGGATGAAATAATAAATGGAATGTTTGCAATTGCAGGTTGAAGAGGATAAGATTATGGACTGGAAGCTTCTCTCTTTCTCTTTTTCTTCTGCTCTCTTTTTTTCTGTCTTTCAGCCTAAACCATATAAACACACAAAATACAGCAGGAGAAAAAAGATTTATGTCTACTCCCTCTCTATAGACTGTCTTTTCGTTCCATTCCTAATTGCATCAGAAACACGAGAGCTCAGTTGCCATCACCCTCCCATAATACTACAACACGTATCTGTAGTGCACGATGTATAAGAAAAATCAGCTGCCATATAGAGCAGGAGTTCTGTAAAGGTGCAAAAGGCAATTATACATAGGCCATTCCTCAGGGAAAAACCAAAGGGTGTTGCCTCTTTCCAAGTGTATTTCAGTGCTCTCAAGTGCCAGACATTCTTATATCCACTAACTGTAGTCAATAACCAGAATTAAGAATCCAGATCACTAGATAGCTCTTGTCAAGAAAAAAAATATGGAGGTGGTTGGTACCCATCACTTTGGTGGAGAGCGGGAGTTTAAGGGGTGACAGCTTTACAACCCAAAAGCTAGGAATATTTCAACTGTGAAAGGGAGGAAGGGGGATTGACAAAAATGGCTCTCCTGGGTGCAGCAAATCAAGGGGGCTGCTCCACTGTCAGGGGCACAAGAAGCTAGAATGCTTAGTAATAGAAAAATGCAGAAGCATCTCAAATATTGCAAGCCTGCCTCTGCCAGGCCCGGCCCATGGGAACACGAGGCATGGTTATAAGCCTGATTTTCGCTGTTAGCAGAAAGCTAAAATCATAGCAGAAATCTCAAATTTGATATTAAAAACTTTGTTTTAAATAAGAAAATAAAACAATACCGTTCATTGATTTTTGCTTTGACATCTATAAAGGTGGCAAAGACTAAAAATATTTTGTGTCATAAGGGATTTTATAGTGCTGCTAATATGTTTCATGATTCAGACTAATATAAAAATGAATTAAGCTGACATAATATTTTTAATTCCAAATGATAATTTGCAAAACTGTACATCATATTAAAAATTTAGTTTGATAATTCAAACATATGCACAATTCAGTTCTTTCTCAATACAATTTAATGTTAATTTCATTATAAAATATACTAAAATGCTGAGTTTTTCAAACCTGTAAGATTGTTAAACATATCTCCAGTAGCTAAGAAAAATTAATCCATCCCTTTATAATGAAAAGGTTTAGTACAATGTGATAGCAATCCATCAGTAAAGACATGGTTCTCTTGAAAGTCATTATAATGCATCCTGACAACTGGTTTAATTATCAAACATTGCATTCATGAAACATAAATAGAAAGCCTTCCCCTTGAGAGAACAAACTGACCACCCACCCAACTACCATTAGTTTATTTTCAAATGCAAAATGCACTTGCTTCATGGGAACTAGCAAAAAATAACATTGTGAAAGAAACTGAAAAATAAATAAATAAATAAATAAAAGAGTAGAGACAGTTTTTAAGTAAAATCCTATTTGTGTTATCTTCAGTGTACTGACATTTGTATTTAGTCTAGTATCAACATCAGATAATGTCACAACAGATTATATTGTATATGAATGTAAACATTCATTTAGAAATTTTTAAACCTCTTAGTGTGTTTTATATGACTTATATCTAGTTATAGATTATACATGCCTGTTAAGTTGTTAGAAATGGGCTGACTTCAGCCTGAGCAACATAGAGAAACCCCATCTCTACTAAAAAAATACATGGGCGTGGTGGTACAAGCCTGTAATCCCAGCTACTCGGGAGGCTGAGACAGGAGAATTGCATGAACCCAGGAGGCAGAGGTTGTGGTGAGCCAGGACAGTGCCATTGCACTCCAGCCTAGGCAACAAGAGCGAAACTCTGCCTCAAGAAAAAAAGAAAAGAAAAAGAAAAAGAAAGAACGAATAAAGAAATGGGCTGGCTTCACGAAGCTCACGACAGAAATATTGCACTGAAGCAGTTTCTTTAAGATGTTGAAAATTAGGGTATGAATATAACCACTTCAGAAGATGTCAAATATATCGCAATAAATGACACATTAATGGCAAGCTTACATTTTTAGACCTTCATTTTCAGGGCCTATTCATTATTAATATGAGACTGATTAATTTATTTCTTTTTGTCTAGCCAGCAAATCAACCACATCTTAAACATTACATAAAAAGTCACAGCATAGTATTATCTTTAAAAATTATAACTAATATTGAATTCTCAGTTCCATATTTAAACTACAATAGTGGTACAGCAACAAAAAGACATATAAAGAGTAGGCATTCGTATATCCATTTGTATACTTGCTTTCTTATATTTAATTTCCAACTGTATTTTAACTTGTCATTTTTTTCTCCTCTTCAAGTCAGACTCTACTACATTTTGGTCATAGTTGATATAGAGGGGTAGTAAAATGGAATCTTTAAGTTGTTTTTAAAGATCATTTGTTAAATTAATGTAGTAATTTACCCCAAGGGAACCTCTAGCTGCTTGGCTTGGATGCTATTGTGCATATGTACAAAAGTGACGTACAGCTTTCGTCAAGAATCATCAAATTTTAATAAAGAGACAAAAATGTCCCTCACTCAAAGCACTGACCTAAATCAGACATTCACTTGCCATACACTCATATAGTCACCTTAATTATACTACTTCTGAGACGGAGTTTCGCTCGTTACCCAGGCTGGAGTGCAATGGCGCGATCTCGGCTCACCGCAACCTCCGCCTCCTGGGTTCAGGCAATTCTCCTGCCTCAGCCTCCTGAGTAAGTGGGATTACAGGCATGCGCCTCCATACCCAGCTAATTTTTTGTACTTTTAGTAGAGACGCGGTTTCACCACGTTGACCGGGATGGTCTTGATCTCTTGACCTCATGATCCACCCGCCTCGGCCTCCCAAAGTGCTGGGATTACAGGCTTGAGCCACCACGCCCTGCCAATTACACTACTTCTAATCATTAAAATGATACCATACTGTCTAGAAGCAGAGAGAATTTCATTTGGTGCCCAAATGAGGAACTTTGCACAAATCTTTACATACTCAGCAAGTAAAGTTACCGTTCACACTGCACACTCATGTAAGAGATACAGATATACATCCCAGAAAGACCTCTCCCTTTTTCCCATGGACAAGACTAATAAATGTGTTAGGAAAAGTCTAGTTTTCCCTTGAAGGACACTTAGTTAACTTGCTGGCCAGTTTCAAAGTCTTCACATTTTCCCCAAAACACAGTACCTTAGAAGATGTTCTTTGTCCAAAGCGGGAGGCAGGGTCATGAAAGGAAATGTCAGTTCCCCCAAAACTATCATTTTGGTTAATAAGAACTGCTGGTGTTGGAACCATATTTAAAAGAAAATTGGAATCAAGTTCCTCTAAGGAAAAGTACTTACGATCTTATTAACCTGAGTATTCATTTATTAAGCAAATATTAAATTTTTGGTTATGCATAAAATTTGGTCACAGACATAATGAAATCTTTCAAATCCATATGCTTTGCCCTGGGGAATACATTTATTACCTGCTGTGATGTCACTGGGTAATTTTCCTGGCTGGTAGAGATTCAGCTTAAGTTTTCCATCACTCAGAAGGAGAAGGATACCCCCTGAAACCAGCTGAAGTTCACTGAATAGCAGAAGCCCTGCCTTATTCCAAGTTCGAAATTGAAAAGTGGCAGAAACCTCTTCCTCTCCAGAGAAGTCTGGCAGTGCTAAATAACTCCTGGAGCTCAGAAAAGTCACGGGCATAGATTGTGGTTGTGAACAAGAAAATGACACATTTCCCTGAGAATAAAGTAAAAGAAAAAGCTTTCAGAATGTTATTCACATCACATTAGTAACAGAATTTGAAGGCTGCTTTTCAATCTCACATTATCCTCGATTTAAAAAAACAACCACCTGCTATCAACATGACAATCCAAATCACTGCCCTGTTTCTTAAAGGTTCTTCAACCCTTTTCTGTGCTCTTCTCTCCATTTGTCAACTTTAATATAAATTTAAAAGTCAACGAAGTCAATCTTATTTAGAAGTGCACACATTGGAATAAAACATTTGGTCCTGGTCAAACGAAAACACTTGGCTCTATCATGAATCTGTGAAAAGTGAATTCACTTTTATTATAAGAAAATGTGTTGTTCCAATGAAGGAAATAACAAAAGCTAAACAGCAAACCACACTAACCCATATGCTACTCTATAAAGTCAAGTCAATTATAAGACTACCAAGCCTAGAAAAAAAATGGAAACATTTTTAACAGCTGTAGATTGGTCTTTTTTTTTTTCTTAGTGATACATAATAGTTATACATACTTAGGAGACACAGATGATATTTGGTACATACATGTAATGTGTAACGAGCAAATCAGGATAATTGGTACGTCCATCATTTCAAACATTTATCTTTTTTTTGTGTTGAGAACATTGCAAAACTTATCTTGTAGCTACTTTGAAATACACTATAAATCCTTGTTAACTGTAGTCACTCTCCTGCACTACTGAAAACTAGAATTTATTGCCCCTTTCTTTCTAATCATATTTTTGTACCCATTAACCTGCAGTGTGATCTTATGCATCATTTGGACAGCTGCCTGATATCTTACCAGCAGCAAATCCTCTTGCCAAAGAAGACTGAATGGTCCTTGCAGTTTCTAGAAACTTGTGTTATGGAAAAAATACACACATGCATGCATGTAAACATACACACACACGTATCTATAATATTTTTATTTTCCTTTTACACAATTTCCATTTTATAAAAAACAACTATTTTAAAAGCTTGCTGGTTGTTATGCTCATATAAATACCACCAATTCACACATAATTAGAAATAAAATGCTGTGTAAACAATAAATATACTTGTGGTGTGCTTTGTGTTTTGCCCAAACGTCAGCTTTAATTTACATACTTTGGATGAGTCTGTTTTAGCTAGAAACCATGTTTCCCAGAATCCCCTTACTTGCCTGCTTCTGAGTAAAAGCCAAAACAGAGAGTTTGGGTGATATTTGACAGTTAGAATTAAAACACCAGCAACACATTTTGCCCCAGAGGTTTTTTCTGTAATCATGTGTGATGAGGGATGGTCACACAGTGGCTGGTTTGTCCCACTCTGTCCTTGCTCTCCTGCGCTATGGCCCATCTCTTCTTCCCGACAGCTGGCCCGGCTGAACAGCAGCAAACCCAGGCCCATCCCGAATGCATGCCTGGGGACCCACAAGGGTAGTGGCTACCCACAGGCAACAACTGCCCGTGCTCTCTTCAACCCTCCTAGCTGAAAACGTCTGTACGCTCCAACACACCTCCACACACCGTTGCTTTAGACAGAATTAATGACTCCTCTGATCCGCGCACTTCCCCTGCCAGGCCATTCGTTTTTTAGCTCCTCTGAAAATTGTTAAGGTCCAAGTCATAAAATAGATGCACTGTTCACAATACTTATAGTGGTGTGCTTTCTCTAACTAAAACCTAACCAAGACAACTATATTTAAATTCTGCCCCATTTCCAGAGAATTCGAATATAATGCAGTCTGACCAACACTGCCATTTGGACAGATTGGCAGAGGCAATATTGTAACACATCCTATATTTGCTTGTGATATTAAGATCTCTTGGTGCAGATTTTCTACACATGATATTTCTTACATGCTGTTTTCTCTTCGTCTCTTTATCATGAATGACTAGGGCAAAATACAAGCTTTTCACATGTCTCCCTAATATACATGGATGTTATCTGATTCCAGAAACTCTGTACGCTTATCTGGTAAGTTTGTCAGGGAATATCTTATTTAAAAAATTACAGAGGAGGCTGGGCACAGTGGATCATGCCTGGAATCTCAGTACTTTGGAGGCCAAAGTGGGTGGATCACCTGAGGTCAGGAGTTTGAGACCAGCCTGACCAACATGGAGAAACCCTGTCTCTACTAAATACACAAAAAAATTAGCCAGGTGTGGTGGCAGGCACCGGTAGTCCCAGCTACTCAGGAGGCTGAGATAGGAGAATCACTTGAACCTGGAAGGTGGAGGCTACAGTGAGCCGAGATTGCACCACTGCACCCCAGCCTGGTGACAGAGCAAGAATCTGTCTCTAAAGAAAAAAAAAAATTACTGAGCAAAAGAAATTAGATGACTGCGAGTAATGACATCACAATAAAATTAAAATATCAACCATAAAAACACTGCTTTACTTCATATAAAGACAAAATAATTATGCCCCAAAGTTTTAATTATTTCAGATAGAATCAATCTTTTATATGCATATTGCCAATCAAAGAAAAATACTTAAATAAGAGTAACTCTAAAACATCCTGTTAAATGGGAACCTAAACTGGAGCAATTTTACTGTTTGGAAAAAGAAATAGAGTTTTACTAATGTCTTCATATAAAGACTCTTACCATAGCAATGATCTGTGGTTTTTGTTGCTTGGCCGAATCAATGATATTCACTCCATTATAATAGAGATTTTCTAAGCATCCATGAAAATTTCTCTGTGGGAATGACACTGATTTTCCAGCTGCTGGAATCCCTCCGAAGCTGATCTTAGAAAGAAAAATGGCATCAATAATATTGTTTAGTGATTCTTCTAATAAGTCTGCTTACGTTATTATGATTAGCAAATATAGCTATAATCACCACACACAGATCAATTTTTCATAATCCTACACACAAAAATTAAGATATAGATTAAAACAAATTTATGCACATTTGGCTTTTATTCACACTAGAACTTCATTTTTACAAGTTGCTGATCACATCTGGCTTTGATATCTATTGTTTGATGAAAAATACATCTTTATATCATGGTAAAACTTGATCTGTTTGATACTATGACCAATTATATTTTATTTTAGATACGTTTCTGGCACATACTGGTATTTGTGCATTTGAATCTATTGCTAATGAATTAAGTAATCAGTTTGTGCACTTAAATCTATTGCTAATGAATTAATCAGTTTGTGGCTACATTCCCTTCATAAATCCATACTGCTCACAATTACCCAAGAACACAAAGAAGTCATAGAAAATATCCTGTATTTGTTTGTGGTAGTAAGATCTCTTGGTGCAGAAGATCTCCTATGTGTTATGCTCTGTAACTATATATTTCAGGTAAAAAAGATGATCTTCCTCTATAATAATAAATTTACACGCTGTGAGAAAAATGAAGCTACAAGTTCTACGTGCCCAAAGCTGCTACTGTGAGTTAGGCCGCCTTGGGAAATGCTTCACCTGCTCTATGATTTACTGTAAAAGGTGGGTTCTTTATAGTGTATTTTCCTTTGGGAGATTAAACCACATATGCATAATAAAATCAGGCTTCATTGAAACACAACCATCACACCTCATCATCAAGATTCAGGAAACTGAATTCTCCTTGTGCATGGAAATGATGCCTGTGTTCATCTACCGTAAAGTTGATTAGTTGGCCCAAACGCTGGATGAGCACTGAATGCCAATGCTGATCATCCAGCAGGCTGCCCAGGGTGAGATTGACCAGGGTGGAAGTGGAAGGCAGTTTAGCTTCACCTTAGAAGGGGAAAAAAATAACTGCACCATTACTGCCAGTTTAAAGAAAAGTTTCTCTTTTGTGGACCAGCATCTTTCACGGTAATTGCAATCTCCTTTCATGCATTCCATTTCAAACACTAGGATGGATTTCCCTGAAGTTTGAATATAATAGGCTCTCAACCTTGTTGCAATTTCCTCCACTGTTAATTCTTTTTATCATTATTACCAATTGCATGCTCATTTTCTATGTAAATTTTATCTTTGCTACAATCTCATTATTTTAACCACCTCAACATTTTTCAATGACCCATCTCTTCCTTTATGATGTTAGAAAATAGCTATACAGTTCTATCAGCACTATTTAAAAAACACTGAATGAGGATTTTGTGCAATTTACAAAATACAAACCATTTTTACATGAAAGAGCAATATTGGCATATGTACAAGCCCTTGAATCTGATAAGGCACTTTGACTGTTAAAAGATAAGCAATAAGGCTGGGCGCGGTGGCTCAAGCCTGTAATCCCAGCACTTTGGGAGGCCGAGGCGGGTGGATCACGAGGTCGAGAGATCGAGACCATCCTGGTCAACATGGTGAAACCCCGTCTCTACTAAAAATACAAAAAACTAGCTGGGCATGGTGGCGCGTGCCTGTAATCCCAGCTACTCAGGAGGCTGAGGCAGGAGAATTGCCTGAACCCAGGAGGCGGAGGTTGCGGTGAGCCGAGATCGCGCCATTGCACTCCAGCCTGGGTAACGAGAGCGAAAATCCGTCTCAAAAGATAAGCAATAAAATCATAAAGTTACTTTGGTAACTTTATCAAATTTTTTAGCACTTCACCAAAGAGTTTTACCTGAATTAATAAGTAAAAAGAGTCTTCCTTTTCTTAATTGAAGTGTGATGTGATCTCCATTTGGCCCTTCCCTGTGGAGTAGAACCCCATCACTCTGCATGCTTTTGAATTTCAAAGAAATAATATCTTTTATGGGGCTCAGGGATTTTTGATCAAATCTGTAGAGAAGGAAACTTTTTCCATCAAGATCAACCACTTCTGATCCTAGAAACAAAGATATTAGAAGTCATTCTAAGGATAAATGTATTTTTCATTAAAGCAATTTAAATGCATTATAGAGAAAAAGCATTATATATACTCACACACATGCATATACTAATAACACAGTTATATTTTGATAAACCCACCATAAGTTAAAAATACTGTAAGTTGAAAATGCATTTAATACACGTCACCCACCAAACCTCATAGTTTAACCTAGACTACCTTAAACATACTCAGAACACTTAACATTAGCTTAATGTTGAACAAAATCATCTAACACAAAAACCATTTTATAATAAAGTGTTGAATATCTCATGTAATTTACTGAATACTACACTGAAAGTGAAAGACAGAATGGTTGGGTAGGTACTCGGTCTATGGTTTCTACTGAGTGCGTATTGTCTCTGCACCACTGTAAAGTCAAAAAACCGTAACCTGAATCTTTGTAAGTCAGGGGACTGTCTGTGTAGTCCAGCTCCTGAACAGTCAAAAGTAAAGGAAAATATAACCACCAAACGTCTAAATCCCTATTGACACCTGGGGTTGATTTCATTTTAGTCTTTACTAACCTGTTTATGAAATTCATGATCTAGAAATACATTTTTAAACGTATTCCTAATTTTCTCATATGTCAATAAATATTATATAATTTTCTCATTAAAAATTATATGAGAAAATTATATATTTATATGATATATTTTATAATATATAAATAGAGAGAGAGAGAGAGGCAGGGTCTTGCTCTGTTCCCCAGACTGGAATGTAGTGGCAAAGGCACTATCTCAGCTCGCTGCAGCTTTGACCTCTGAGGCTCAAGAGACCCTCCCACCTCAATCCCCCGAGCAGGGGGAACCACAAGTGTGCACTACCATGCTTGGCTAATTTTATTTTTTAATGGAGATGAGGTCCTCATTAGGTTGCCCAGGCTGGTCTTGAACTCCTGGGTTCAGCCAATCTGTCCACCTCAGCCACCCAAAGTGCTGCAATTACAGGCGTGAGCCACTGTGCCCGGCCATTTTCCCATATTACTAAAGGCTATTTCTTCTTATTCCATTAAACAAAGTTATAATTAATATACATTAAATCACTTTACATATTTCACAATCAGTGTTTTTAATGATATTCTTGAAATTCTGAAGTTAAATTTTTTTTTGGCTCCAGAGAAACTGGTTTTGATATCTCAAAATTCTTTCATCCATACACTATGTTAATGAGATCCATACACAAAGATACACACATAGCATAGACTCATCAAATGCCACTTTTAGTACACGTTAAACTGACCTTTGTGTTTTGTCTTATTTTATTATGTTTGTGGTTAAGTGACAGTGTTTAAGAGCAATATTATTTTCTGTCTTCTGAAGGGCATTGTTGGAAACACCCTGACTTAATGATATTGTAAGGTCTGTTCTGCAGTATTTATGTCGTAACTGTGACACTGACATGTTTTTTTCAACTTTCTGACCGTGTCTTATCTACTTATTGTCAAGATCACTCTTCTACAGTTCATCTGAAAAAAGATGTCATGTTATACTAGTAACATAGCAATACATCTGTCAAAATCAGTTGCACCTGCACAAGAGACATAAAAAAAAAAAACAACTCATAACACTTGGAAATCCTGACAGTACTGTCTACATTTCATAAGTCAAAGATATTTTAAGGCAATTACCCTTGAGAGTGCATTTATGTAATAAATGAAGAGGCTCAAAAAATACAATGAAATATGAAGCTATTTTTCAACTGGTAAGCTGGCTTCTTCCAGTCAACAAAATGACATTCCAGTTTACTCATCTTGTTTCATTTGACAAAATTATTACAGCTACTCGTAAGCCCAAATATGCATTTGATTCCGATTATTCATCATATTTTATGTGAATCATCTATATACACCACCCTGCAAATTTTTGTCAACTATTTTATGCAGCCATCTTTTGAAGACTCAGAAGTTTTATTTTTTCACATTTTGCTAATGTGCTTATAAAGAATTCATTCACCAAGTGCACATGAATAAAGATTGCATTCTGTAGAAAGAATAATGTTAGCCTAACAATCATTCCTTGTTACATAGCTGAATGAATGTGCATGGTAAAAATATAACTGTGTCAAATACAAATAATGCATCCTATGATTATTAGATTACAATAAATTAAGAAAAATTCCAATAAGACAGACTTTAAAATGCTGACACATTTGGAGCAATGCAGTTATCTCTGAGTTAATGTATCACTTAAAGGCAACTATGACAGTAATGATTTCATTTCAGATAAAGACTATTTTTGAAATTAGCTACCAGGAGAATTTTTCCCATTAAAGGTTTAGCTTGTGTTACTTTAGCCTACTAGTACTTTTTTTTTCTTTTTCACCACTGTTATTATTACATTACAATGATCATATTTATCTTCTGTGGCACCTAAAGCTTTTGTGCCTGGAATATTTCAATCAGCCATGGTATAGAGAAAAACATATTAAACCACTGATGCCTAAAGCAATTGCATACTCTTAAACGGAAGCCACTTATCATTTTCTCTCATTCTTACTGTCTACTTGCTTCACAGGTATACGACTACACAATTCTATGAATTCATTCAATAAAATTTTGTTTGACCCAATGTAGAGTCACTGTGTGAGATTCTAGGACTAAAAAAAGATTCAACACAAATATAGCCCCTGTCCTCACAGTGCTTCCATTTAGTGAAGACAGACAGTATTTAGCAAGTGAACAACTAAGTTCATAAAAGCGTTACAGATTGTAACAGGCATTCTGATCAAGAGTAACAGAAGGCGGGAGTCACTTAAGCTAGTTGATAAAGGGCTCTCTCAGTTCTCGGGTCTAGAAAAACAAGCCAAAGGCAGATCTTTATCAGTAATCTTGCCACTCTCTACAGTCTTCAAGTCCTATAACTTGTCTCCATAAACTAGGATTACTCTTGGAACATTTAATTTCAAGAGGCCTAGACATTTTCCCAGCACTGTCCGATTCACTGCCATAAAAGAAAGCTCTGAGGATTGCTGAGAAACTAGAGTGAAAGGAAATAATTTAGTGCTCAGAGTATGAGTAAGATTGGTTCACCTTGAAAAAGAGGGCCTGAAAGGAAGAAGGTACAGAAAGAGGGAAATCAACAAACTATAGTCACATCATAGATTTCCTAAACAGGTAAACAATACCCTTCAGAGAAAAAAGAACAAAGAATAATTCACAACGCAAGTACATTATCAGTACAGAAAAACTTCAAGGGGTATACACATAATATATAGAAATAGAGTCTCATAAAATGAAAAAAATTCTGGGTGATTTTTAACAGCATTATTTTAGATACAACACTCATTGTAGGTCACTTTTTTATAAGCATTTTTTCTAAAAAGTTATTTGCACAAACACATTTCATATATTTTTTAAAGTCATCTTAATTACAAAATACTGAGTTATGCTGAATAAAGTTAATCATATGAAAGCCTGAAAAAAAATGAATCTTTTGAGAGAGAGCGAGGGAGCATTTGAATTCTATATATTACCAGCACCCAGCTGTCCAAAGATGCTGGTGAGAGACAGAAATATAGTTTCTCTTGAAAGTGATCTTACCACTGTTAAGAAAAATTAGAAAAAATAAAATAAAATAAAAAAATAAAAGGAAATAAAGCAAAGAAATAATTTCATATCTTCTCAATGTCATAGTGGAATGTCTTCTAACAGGTAAAGATTATTTAATTCTAGGAGAATTAATACATTCTGATTTTAGCATTTATTACTGAATACTAATTAAGGCCAGAGTCTCTAAAGTTACATGTCATCTGCAGATTTTTGCTCAGTAGAAATGCAAATAGCTTCTGTCTAGTAGAAACTATATCTCCAAAGGTTATGGGTTTATTGTCCTGTTGGATATTAACTTCTTGTATATCTACCTAGTAACATTATTCTAACATGCTTTCCTGCATTCCTATAGATATACTCAATCTCTTCAATTTTCTTTGAAACTAGATTAACCATCCTTTTAACTCTTTCATTAATGAACCAAATACTTCTTTGATACATGTATATTCTGTATTTGAATGAAAGATATGTTTTTATGTTTTTTTAAATTGACTTTAACATCGTTAACTGAAAAAATACATTTGGACTTTACAGCAATGACCAAGAAAGCAACATATCAAATCTTAGCCATCACCAGAATTCATTTTCACTATTCTACAAAGATTTTCAGATATCTGAGCTCTTAAGAAAGCAACAGCAATCCAAACAGACACAAAAATCTAAAATTTCAGAGTGATTTCACAGCAATAGGTCTTTGTATTGGTACTAATCTATAAAAGATCTGAGTAAACAGAATTATTTAAATTAGTACAAATCAATATTTATTTTAGAAACACTAAACTAAGCATCCAAAATAACATTAATATTTAAATTAACAGTCAATATCACATTTATTCCTATCTTTTATAAATACCTTTGGAAAATAATATAATATATATATATATTTTACAGGTCTCCCTCTGTCACCTAGGCTGGAGGGCAGTGGCATAATCTCAGCTCACTGCAGCCCTAAACTCCTGAGCTCAAGTGCACCTCCAACCTCAGCCTCAGCCTTCCAAGTAGAGACTACAGAAATGTGCCACCATGCCCAGCTAACTTTTTGTATTTTTGGCAGAGATGGCATTTCTCCATGTTGCCCAGGCTGGGAAAACAATCTTTTGTACACAGTTGAATTGTATAAATAGGAAAAGTAGAGGTATTAGAAAACTGACCATAGGAAAAACGTGAAATCTGAAGTTAACGAAGTTTGTAATAGTAAAAGACCTATAGTCTAAAGATGTAAGAGGAGACTTGTTGCTTGTTTGAAAGGAAGAATAAGAATTATTTCTCTGATTGTGAATTTGTTCATTAGTATGCTTATTAACTGAGGTTTTATATATAGATATATATGTGTATATATATATATATATGCATAGATATATATGTATATATACACATACACACACATATATGTATTATATATATTTTA